AAAAAAAAAGAAAACCCGCTGGAGGGTCAGCTGTGAGTTGATTCAGATTAGGTGGGAATTGAGCTTGCCTGGGGGTGTTTTAATGTGGCTTCTAGAAAAATTTAAATTGCATTGTATTTCTACCAGTCAACTCCTGGAGGGCTGGGGCTTTACTTTGTTTACTGCTGCGTCCCCAGAATTTAGTGAAAAATATACACTATAGAAGTACCTGCTAAGGATGAATGAATGAATGTTTGGGTTTTTTTAAAACTTTTTTTCTCTGTAGCAGGCTCCAGAAGGAAACAAAAACAACCTGCTCTGGTGCCCTGGGGACACTGGGGTTTTCTTGGGGGGTGGGGGGGTGGAGTTGGTGTTCCTCCCCAACCTTCACTCAGCTCAGAGCAACTCCTCCTGGCCCCCAGGGCCATCTCCACACTAGGCCTGAATAGGACATCAGCTAGCGGTGGAGAGCAGCAGGTTGGATTCTATGCCGCTTGGCCTTGTAGGTAAAGGATTCAGACACTAACCGAAAGGTCAGTGGTTTGAACACATCAGCTGGTGAGAAGATGAAGCCATGCCCCTCTGTAGAGATCTCCAGCTTCGGAAACCCTCGGCAGTTCTGCTGTGCTCTGTAGTGTTCCTATGAGCCAAAACAGACACTGCGGCAGTGTTTTTCTCTGAGGAGGAGGGAGAATCCTGGAAGGAGACCCTACAGTGCAGCTGGTTGGGCAAGTGGCAGAGCCTCACCCCTCTCCTGGCTCTGGGCACTGACCCCAGTCCCCTCACTCTCCCTCCACTCTTCTCCCAGAAGAAAGGCTTAGCTCAGCCCCGCAGGGAAAACCGCAATTTGCTCCTGACATGACACTTTGACGGATTTCTGGCTGCCGTGGCCCCTTTGTGTCCCCAGAGCCGCTCTGGGCATAAAAGGGCTGCCCCCAGGCCCAGGTGGGTGGAGGAGCTGACAGGTGGTTGAAAGCTCCCACCCACCCCTGGTGGAGCTGCAGGAGAGGGTAAGGCAGCCTGAAGTATCCCGGCTTTGTTCCTCATCCCAAACCTTGACCCTGTGACCTTCCTGCTACTCTACCTGAATAAGAGAAAGTGTTCATCCTTGAGAGGGAACTGGGTGACAGGAAGGCAGGAAACCCATTCTACAGCCAGAAAAATCAAGGCTCAAGAGAGGAAGCAAAGCGGCTGTACAAGGTCATGGCAGAAATGCAAGGAGTGAGTACAGGACCTATGACAGGGCTGGAGGAATGCCCATTCTGTCAGGCACAGGAAGCTGACTAGCATCCCTTTTTTGTCTCTTTCCTTCTATGAGCGACCCGGAGGGAGCAGGTGCCACTTTGGGATGCTTTTGGTGGAAACAAAAGAGATGCGGCCAAGATAAGCTGCTGGCTCATGGAGTGCTAGGGCACCTTTTTGCAAACGAGGAAAAGGTGTCTTCTCTGGGCAGACACAGCTTGTGCCAGGATGAACAGCTGGAGAGTGAGGTGTAGCTGGATTCCATCCTCACCCACCTCCTTGAGAAACCCTGGCAGATGCAAATGGTGAAGCACGTGTCTCCTAGCCAAAAGGTTAGAGGTTCAAACCCATCCAGAGAACCTCAGGAGACCTGCCTGGAAATCTGCTTCCCAAAGACCATAACTTTGAAAAGTCGATGAAAAAAATTCTATTCTACAAACACCAGGACTCTGTGAGCCAGAATTAACACGATGGCAACTAAGAACCACCCTCTGTAGCTGGCACTCCCTGCGGCACACAGAATAGAATGTACGACCATGCAGGAAGCACAGCCTCTGCTCTTGGGGCACTTAGAGACGATACACAGGCCATGAACAAACATGTTATAGTTGTAAACAGTGATGAATGTCTTAGAAGGAATATGTGGGTGATACTTGGTGACAGGCAAGCGTCAGTAGACGAAGTGAAAGAGGACATCCTTTCCAAAGAGATATTTATTTGGAAGTGAAAGGATGAGGTTGTGCAAAGAATCAGAAGAGCCTTCCTGCAACAGAAACAGTATGTGCAAAGGTCCTGAGGTGGTAAAGAGCTTCACGTGTTTAAGGAAAACTAAGGAGGTCAAAGAGGCAGGTTGGGGCCTTATGGGCAATGGGAAAGAGCCCTGGTGGTGCAGCCACTCTATGGGAGAAGGATTAGGGAATCTCTTCCCACTGGGGGTTATAGCCTTGAGAATCCAGGGGAGGGCAACATGAGTTGGAATAGACTCAGCAGCAGTGAGGTTTTTGAGGGAGTGGGGTAGGATGAGGTAAGGTGTCACAGAGGGGTTAGGAAGCAGAGATATGAGGGGAACAAGATGCGAAGAACGACATTGAGTGGGCTGATGCGAATCCTAGAAATAAAAATCTCCTTGTAAAACTTGTAAACTAACCATGGTTTTGCCTTGGTTAAAGCTCTCCCACCCCCCATCCCATCCCGCCCTCCACAACACTGGAGTTGGAGGGGGAGGAGGAAGAGAGAGAAAAAGGACATTTTAAATGTGAGTGTTAGGTGTCTCCAACCAGCCACGCCTTCTAAAATGGCCTTGTAAGCCAACAGGGAAGTGGGCCCAGGAAATAAAGCTCTTGAAATGCTGTCCTGGGGGGTGGCCCCTCTGTAGCTCTCAGAGCCACTGGGAACGAAGACTTGGAAGCCCGATGGATTCAGGCTTGAATTCTTACCCTGTCTGGCCTTGGTCAAATCCTCATCAGGTTCTCTGTCTCAGTTTTTCCTATCTGCAAAATGGGATGCAAAGGTCTTGGGAAATACCTTTTACAGAGACCTCTGGAAGGTTCTGTGTTGTGTATGCATTAGCACAGCTTGCATTTGGATGGAGAGACCTTTCTCGGGAGTGAAGCTGGACTTGGGCAGTGCCAGGGGGTACAGAGAGCTCCAGGTTTGTGATGGGGAAGGGACAGGGGAAAGGCGTGTGTACAAGAACTCCATCTTCTGTATCCTTATAGGTGTGTGACCGATGATGGTGGGGGTGTGGTCCCTGCTTCTCCTCTGGGGTCTGTTAACTCCCTGCCAGGGCCTTCTTGAGACAGTGGGCACACTTGCTCGGATCGACAAGGATGAACTCGGCAAAGGTGAGCCTGAGGTGGGCAGATCAAGAGAGGCCTGACTGGAAAGTATGTACAAAAAGAACCTATTTTAGAACAGATGAGAGCAAGTTGAGATTCTCAGCTGCTCAGAGAGTATATTTTCCAGAATTCAGGGGCTGGGCTTCTCCCAGGTTAAAGGTTTGCTTTGCAAGGTAGCTGGGGTTGGGAACTCTAGTCACATACAAGTCACAGTCTTTTGACCTATGGGCTGGACAGATGTGGTCGTGGCTGCGTGGGGGCTGCATCTGGCTCTGAGACAGGGATGGAGGGTAGGGAGCTGGCTGTGCTAGGGCCTCCGCTCCATATTACTGTCATGGGAGAATTCTCGTCAGCATCTGATGCTTCTGGCCCAACAGCTCAGGGTGACAGTTTTGGGAGGGAATAAGGGCATCATGAATAGGAAATGCTTCAGGGAACCCCAATCCTCCACTTCCGTAGAGAGGGCCCTTCCATTCTGCCTTTCACATAAACTTCACAGAGCCAAATGTGAGGGCTCCCAGGGGAACAGGAATCACCTCTCCCATTTCAATCAGGCCACTGATGGCAACCTGTCCTTTGATTCTGCCCTCTTTCCCAGTATTATAGGGCAGCTGGTGTTGGGAATCCTAGTCATATCCAATTTGCTGAGTGACTTTGAACAAGTCCCTGCCCCTCTCTCGACCTCAGTTTCTTGAAGGGATTATTATACAATTCATTCATTCATTCATTCATTCACTCTGAGCACCTTCAGTGTGTGGGGTAGGATGGGTGGCCGCCTGCTCTGCAGTGCAGGCTCATTGGATTCCTTCATTTGAAGGTGACCTCTGGGTCAATTTAATTAAAAAATAGAGTGTGGCAGAGACTTAGAGGAACAGGAAGGTTGCCCTGGCGTTGAGAGTGGGCTAGGAATTTCCAGCACCTTCCTGTCCCCTCCCTCACTGCAGCCATCCAGAATTCACTAGTCGGGGGACCCATTCTGCAGAACATCCTGGGGACAGTGACATCCGTGAACCAGGGCCTCCTGGGCTCTGGAGGGCTGCTCGGAGGAGGTGGCTTGCTGAGCTACGGAGGGATTTTTGGCGTAGTTGAAGAGCTATCTGGGTGAGTCCAAGAGGTCAAGGTTCTTGGCTGCTCACTGAATGGAGGTCCTGGAGGAGGGTCAGCCTGGTCTTTGCTTCTAGGATTAGACACTGGATTTATGCTCTAATTTGGTAGCAGGTAGTGCATGGTATCAGAGTGGCAGGAACTCTGGGTAGGGAGCCTCAGAAGGCAGGTCTGAAAACAGAGAGTTGACGCACATCAGGCAGGAGAAGAATGAGGCTGTGCCTCTTGGTTGAGGACTCTCGCCCTGGCTTCATTTCCAGTTTTGCACAATGTGTCCTGAGTGGATACATTACTTAGTCTCCACAGGAGAAGCCAGGTATGTACACGGCTTCATCCCTCACCACTTCAGGTTTGTGATCTGATCAGTCCCTCCTGGCCCCCTCCCCTGCCTTCACAATCTCTATGGTACGCTCTGTGAGAGCTGAATGAAGGGGTTCAAGGCCAGAGGCTGACTGAGGCCACAGGGCTTGGTTCATTGAGTCACTGAGCCTCCAGGGATGATCCGATGACAGTGAGCTGCCGTGTCAGCTGCTGCCCTTACATACCTTATGTTGTTTTTATGAGAAGGGTACGAAAGTAAACCCCATTTCACAGATGAGAAAACTGAGACCAGAAGAGGGCACAGTAACTGGCTCAAAGACCCCCACTGAGTTCTGTGGGTTCACGGTGGTCAGCAGGACAGGCTCAGGGCCCTGCCTGGTCTGGGCTGCTCCAGAGACCACCAGGCTGTGCTGCAGTGTCTCTGGGTGAAGCTCTTACTGTAACCTCCACTCCAGGCTGAAGATTGAGGAGCTCACGCTGCCCAAGGTAACTCTGAAGCTGCTGCCAGGGTTCGGGGTGCAGCTGAGCCTGCACACCAAGGTGGGCCTGCATGGCTCGGGGTGAGTTGCCTACTGCTCCCCTGCATCCACTTTATTGCCTCTCTGGGATCCCTACTCTACTATCTTCCTCTTCTGCACCCCATTCTTTCCCACCCCTGCCAAATTTCCTTCTCAAGGGGCTCCCTAAGTCCCTACTCCCCAGGACTCTGAGGCCACCTCACTATCCCTCCTTCAGGGATTGTCCTTTTTTTGTCCTCACTCCCCACCCCAAGGGCCTGTTATTTGACTCTCTACTCCAGTGCCTGGGAATTGTCAGAGGAGCCAGGGGAAGGGGCATGGGGGCTTATAAAACAGGGTGATGGATTTTATTATTCCAATTGGCCCATACTGCCTGGACAATTGTCACTGGACAATTTGCAAATGATACTCAAATTAAGAGTTTAATTGTATGGAAGAAACGGCAGCATAAATACAAGGAAACCAGGGAAGGGGAAAGAAAAACCCCACACAGAATGTAAAACTAAAAAAAAAAAAAAGGGGGGGAAAAAAAG